GTTGCTGCTGATTAGAGATGAACTACACATGGAGCAGGATGCCATGCTGGTCGACATAGAGGACCTCACCAGGTGACGAGGCGCTAGATGAGGAGATTTTTTTACCCCACTCTCTGTTTGTTTTCTTCTTCTTTTATTTAGATTAGATTAGGCTCTGTCCCCCCAAGTTCGGTACAGTACACACAACATACACATTTACAACGGGCACAAACAACAAATAAATAAGATAAAAAGAACTATGGTAAAAAAAAAAGAGAGAGCAGTGCAAGGGTAGAACAGAGACATTAAAGACAAGTATAAGAAAAATAAGAGAAAAAGATCAGTGCCAACAAAAAAAAAAAACAGGTATGGATGTGATGGTGATGATATTGATACCAACTACTAAGATAGTGTCAGTATATAAAATAAAAAATAAAGTTAATTTTTAAAAGTTAAAGGAAAAATTGAAATCGTTAATGTGATAATAATAATAATAATAAAGTTATTGTTATTAAACATGAAGTCTTTAGCCTTACTTACACTGACTCATTTGACTCCGAACACAAAGCGCTACCTGACGCCACAAAAGTCTTGATACTTGGACCACAGTATTCCCAAAGATTTTAAACAGCCTTTGGTTTAGTAGAATGAGACTGATTTTTTATGAATACAGGAGGAGTAAGTGGTGTGTTTTTGGGAACTACTTTCTGCTGGAATTATAAGCAGCGGGGTCAGCATATTAGGGGTTTAAAGTGTTGCTTACTGATAAGTTTTGTTTAGTTGATTAAGGTGAAAGAGATCACAGACAAGTCAGTGGCGGAAAAGAAGAACTTCTCTGAACATTTTTGGTCGAGATACAATAAAGTGTGACAAGCCAGTCGGGGAAAAGAAGAACTAAAAGAAAAAAGAGATACAATAAACGTTAGTGGGGAAAAAGTCATTTTTTTGGACTTCTATCATCAAAGCTGTAATGCTACAGAGATTGAAGTCTTAATCTTAGAAGAAAAAACATTTTTTCTGTAAAAACTTGAGAACAACTACATAAGATAAACCGTGTGTCTTTCTTTGGCAAATGCCGCTTGTTGCTTTTTTTCTATTTCTCCTTTGATAAGAACACAAAGGCCAAACAAAGCTCATATTAAGAACTTTTTTTACATTTAATTCCCACTTTGTTTTTCTGTCATTACAATTTTTTTCTTATTATGACAAATTTTTTGAAATTTTTTTTCCTATAAAATTACAACTTAATTCTTTTCAAATTCTTGAAACAACACAACTTTGTTTTTAAAACCCCATCTTTCTTGAATATATTTATTAAAAAGTTTTATTTTTTTAAATGTTTATCCCATAATTGATGACATGTCCGTTTTCTCCTGTCTAGGCATGCTGAGAGCCAGCAGAAACATATGGCCGAGAGGACCCTTTCAAAATAAGATGCCCGTCCCTGCGCCCCCCTCCCCTGCTCCCCTCTGCCAAGCTGAAGCTCCCGCTCCAAACCAGACTTTTCCTCCTCCGGCCATTCCACCCTCTGCCCTGTTTCGATCCAAATCCTGCCCGCTTGTCCCCGAGTACTTTGCTCTTTGCTGCGTCCCCCTGGCATTTCCCTCTGTCTCACTGACTCCAACGGTGGCCGCAGCAGCACAGCAGAAGAAGAAGAAGGCCACCCCTCGTTCATTTGCTTCTGTGGTTTTTCTCCCAGCGCCAAGGACAGAGGAGCACTGAGGAAACGGAGGAAACCGATTGTGTGTCGTCATGGATTCTGTCTCCAGCTTCCTGTGCAGTGATCGGCATTGCTTTGCGATTGTTTCTTTTAAACTTTCTACATTCGCCACTAAATTATTACTGTCAAACGCAAAAGAAAATGTGGGAAAAAATAAAATAATAGTGAAAATTTAGTAGAAAGTCAGTCATGAGAAAAAAAAGAAACAGCATTGTATAAAAAAAACACAAAAAAACGACGGAAACTAACTTCTTCAGACCATTTTAAGTTGGAAGGTAATTTTAAAGTATTTCGAAGTTGACCTGTTTTTATTCTGCACAAACGGTAGTTTTCAACTGAGAAATGTTTATTTGAAGGTGCTAAAAGAGTGTCAAAGGAAACATGCCTGCCTTGTAGTGGAGTCGTAGCTTTTGGTAATCCGTTCACTCTAATTGCTCTTCAACATTTTGTGAATGTTGATTCTCTGACACGAGTCATTTTAAATGAATAAGTGTGTTAATATTGTTTTCATCCTGTTGTAATCAGAAACTTTATTTGAGGGAAGAAATGTTTATGTACAGATATGTAAAATAAAGAATAAACTTTGTTTCATATATGCCAGTTTTTTGTACTTTTTTGATTTGGCTGGTAGGTTGGTTGAATCTGTTTCTTTCACTTGATCCGCCTCTTTCTGGTGAAAGCAGGAAGTGTCATTACTACAGTAAGTGACTAAACGTAGTATGACTCAACTCCCTCTATTTTGACCTTGTATCATCATGTCATTGTTTGTCTCTCACTTTCTGTGGAGATGGTTTGACAGCTTTCACAGGGACTCCGCACTGACTCGACAGCACCTTTAAGGGATGTTTATTAGAGTTTCTCTTCACTTGAATTTTGACAGTTTTGTAAAGATGGTAACTAGTCTGAGGTGTAAATCCACAGAAAGTCCTCTAAATGAGATTGAAGTTAATAATAAATATGATGCTAAATATCTTTCTGAGGAAGTCCCCTCCCCCTTCTGCGGGTCATCTTTTCTCCTCGACAGTATTTTATGTCTAAAAAGAGTGATTATGAGTGTCACACTTTGTGGTGTGGCATGGCATCGTCAGTAAATACCAGGAAACTCCTGTCAACTACTCACCGACCGCGGCAGTTTCAGAGAGTGTGCTTCCTCTCCTATCAAAACACGTCTGAAACAAAAAAAGATCCTAAAAACCAGAGAGTGGGAGCTGTTCTGGGAGAGTGAAGTCATGCATTAGGTATCATTTTGAGGTTTTTTTTTTAAACACTGGTGACAAACTTTTGAACAAAAGAAAAACATACATTTCATCAAAAAGTTTAACCACACTTCACTTTGTACCTCTTGGCTTTTCAACAAACTTGTCCTCCGCTCCGCACACACACATGCATCACTCACTAGACATCATAACTGTGGAAAATGTTCAACGGGGCTGTTTTGGTGGTTACTACGATTGACTAGAAATAACCGCTCATTACATCAAAGGTCATGTTTGTAGGTTGTAAAGAGGCATCAACATTAATTCCAGTTGGTTTCATAACCAGCTAAAAATCCTTCCGGTGCCCTCTGTGGACAAAGTGGTACCTCCAAACTCTTTGCTGATCTTGATCTATATATCAGTATTTTTCATTCCAGTGAAAACTCACGCTTTCTTCTAACATATCACTTGCAGCTTAGACTGTTAGACTGTAATCTGTTATTCACCTTGTCTAACAGCAGTAGTGGTTACTAGCTTTATAAAACTATGTTCAATCAATCTTTATTAATATAGCCCCAATATTATAACAAGTGCTATCTCAAGACACACAAAAAACACTAATGAATCTAAGTTTATATCATTAACTTTTTTTAAGTGTTTTAGCATTTACCTCTTCTTGTTTTAATGACAGGATCATCTTTTATTGAGCTATTTTGTTGCTCTTATTTTAATATCTTTTACTGTTGTTTTTATTTCATTTTATACTTTGTTTTTAGATTTTAACCTAACCTTCAGTGTGTCCTTATCTAGAATTTTAAAACGGCGTTTCCTCAGTGCGCACTCTCCATTTTCCTGTTTCTATGAAATCGAGCCCTTTTCGAGTTCATGCATTTTAATTCTTGTTTCTGTTGTTCTTACATCGCGTGGTGGGGATGAGAGGTTGGGCTGAAGGTAGATCAGGGTATTATATATATTTTTTTATTCCTCTGCTATGTAAAGCACGAAAAGAGCTATACAAATAAAGACTGACTGATTGATTGATTAACAAAAAACAGCTGTTCTGGTTACAAAGATCCAGTGTAAAGATGGGGTAAGACTGAGCCCCATCTTGTAAGATCAGATCCACTCCCATCCCATCTTCAATCATATGAGTGTAGTATTTGTAGCATTTTGCAAGTTGCAGTGTGGAGGAAAAACTTCCATTAACAGGCAGAAACCTTCAGCAGAACCAGACTCATTCCATCTGCTGCTACTGCACTGGGTTTAGAGTGGAGATAGGGGGAGATGCAGAAAGAGAGAGGAATGCTCTGGGCTATATAAAAGGATTTCTGTTTTATCTTTATTTCATCGCAACATTATTGTCTGAAAGGCAGGCAGTGAGACCGGTGAATTTATAGGAGAGAGTGGGCTAAGATGAGCCATTTTTCATATTTCGGATCACTACATCAAGAAAATCATAGTTTTGTCTCCAACTAGTGTATCTGCATATATTTCAAGATGTTGTTCATCCCTGCAAACCAACAGAATGAATGTAAAAATAACTGTCTTGATAATATAGCACCAAAAAAAGTGCTCTCCTTTGTGCAGACAAAAAAAAATCCCAATGAGTCTTGCTCTGCAGTGACGTAACCAGATCTTGCCCCGCCCCCTTACTCCAGTAGGTCACGCTGATGTAACGTGCCAAAGGTAGTATGAGTCGAAAGTGCAGCAGAACCCCAAACCCCGTGGGAACGAAACATTATGCATAATGTCAGGGGGCAAAATAGGGGTCCTGCGGTGTAATTAAGCCTGGGTTTACCTGCCCTTTAATTTTTCTGAAAGGCTCCGAGGGTCGATTCATTTCATGATTATTCACCACCGCAGATTTTAACAAGATAGAGTGAGAATGACTGCTTGGAATAGATTTTCTCATGATTGTAAAATAGAAAATGATTACGTTATTTTAAAGTTAAATATATTTCAAAAATGTCCCGATGTTTTACTCATAGGGAGTAGGCTTACTTGTATACTTTTGTGTAGGGGGGGTCAGGAACGTATCATCGTAATGTTTCTGCAAAGCTGCATGCATTGAACCTTCAAACTATTTTTAACTATGGGGATTTTAGGGGATGGTCTTCAGATTAGTTTGCACTTTAGTAAGACTCGTGCAAAATAAAAGCTCACTGTGTCGAGGTAAATATCGTTTCATATCAGTATGAGTTTACTTTTTGCTTTCTCTCCGGGTATGAATCAAATATCATGACTTCCCGTGTGTGTGTGTGTGTGTGTGTGTGTGTGTGTGTGTGTGTGTGTGTGTGTGTGTGTGTGTGTGTGTGTGTGTGTGTGTGCTGGAAGATCGATGAGGAAATTACAACATGACGTTTTAGTTTTCTTCTTGCTGGATCTCCTGCAGGTCGGCGGAGGGAATCCCCACAGAGCAGGCCTGTATATATAAATCCATCAGATAAGAAGAGAGCATCACATCACACAACTGCTCATAGACCTGACTCCAGCACTGATAACCATCTGATCAGACACATGGCAATCTTCAATACCTGTAAGTCATCTAACCAAGAATACACACTCAGACCTCATGTTTCTGTCGTGTCATGCAGAAAAAAAGACTTTTTTTCTCTTTTTATTTCTTAATGCAGATTTCTACAGCTGCGTCCTGCTGCTGCTGACCGTGAACGCGCGCTCCTCCTCAGGACTCCCGGTGCGCGCTCTCAGCTTGGAAAAGTGCAAAAGCTGCTCGACGCTTTTTGGAAACCTCCTTGAGCATATCACTGAGCTCCTCAACAATGTAAGAACAAGATCATTTCTGCAGGTCCATTCGTCGTTTACAATTTGTGTTGTTGACAATGAATGCTTTTCTTTTGTATCACAGGATACTGTACAGAGGGATGTGTTTCATGGTGTCACCACAGATGAAGCAGTGGTGAGGAGTAAGAGTGACACACCAAGAGCCTGTTCACCCAATCTGACTCAGGTGACACTCCTTAAATGATCTCTTGTGAAATAATGAAAAGAACACTGTCTTCATTGTAATACTCTTTTAAATGATCTTAAGTAACACTTTACAGTAACCGTAACTTATAAATGGTAAATAGATAGTTTTTTCATGTTTAATCATCATTTAAAAACAGCATAAAGACCAATTATAAATGGTAAATAGATAGTTTATTAATGTAAGTTAATAGTCACTTTACTATTAACAAGCAATGAAATTATGATTAATATTGATTGGTTGTAAAACATCTAGATTAAAATGTGTGTCAGTAGCACTTTGTAAATGATTAATAAGTGGTTTATAAACCATCTATAAACATTACTTAGATGTTATTGTAAAGTTAGAGTTAGGTCTTAAAATTGTAAAATTTACAATGTATTAATGGTCTATATGCTATTTATAAATGATGATTAAACACGAATACACTATCTGCTTACCATTTATAAACAGCCTATTTCCCATTTATGAGTTGTGGTTACTGTAAAGTGTTAGGTGATCTTTTTTCTGCACTCCACTTTCAAAATAAGTCGTGATCCGCCCCAAACCTCACATTTGCTGTTCAGCTTTCACAATTTTTTACTTTAAAATTGTCATGTAAGTGAAATGCATAATTCACTGATAGATTTGTGCTCCTGACTCAAACCGAATCATGAAAATATCTGATATGTTTAAACTATTTTTTGATGTGTTTGTTCCACACAGAACCCTGCTTGCATGATGCAAAGAAACTCTTCTTTCAGTGAGGTAAGGGTCAATCAAAGTTAGTTTTTTTTGTACTGTATTAAACCATATATGATAATAGCTGGAAATTCTATATCTATAATACCCAAAAAGCTTCAGATTTGTTGATTATCCCTTTAATGCCTTTTGTATCATATTTGATACATACTTTTATATACTTAAATCAAATCAATATGATCAACAAATTACTAAAATAAAAACACCTGAATACAGTCCGATAAATTATAAAAATGTCCTCTTGTAGTTTATCAGTTTCCAAAAACATCTAATGTATCAAACGAGATGAATAAATATATTTGTAAAATTTTAAGGACATTCTGATTTTTTTGGTTTTCAGTAGTAAGTAAAATAAACACTTCAGCTCCAAAAAAATTGAATTTTCTGGCCATAATTTGTGGTGTCAGGCATTAAAGGGTTACTCTGTTCTCTAAATATTTAACTTATTTGTCTCACTTTGTATTTCCTCAATAATGCGAACAGATTACTGATGGATAATTCCTTCCGTTTGTCTTCGCAGAGTGAATGTCTGAGTAACATCATGAAGGACTTGGGCTACTATGCTGCTGTGATAGATTCCTACCTCAACAACACCTTGCTCAGGGATCCTGTGACAGAAGCTGAACATCTGAGACCAACTCTGGGAATGATAGAGAGCCTGAGGAAGGTGTGTGTTTATTATGCATGTGTGGGAGGCTATAAAAAAAAACAACACAAAATCATGATCTAAAGACAGAAACAGTGAGGGAGAGTCTCGAGGGAAATAACATTTCGAAAGTTGCCTGATGAAATCTTCCTTGGTTTATACAGAACTGCTCCCTGATGCCCGATGAAGAGGAGGACTCCTCAAAGGTATTTTTCTACTCCTTTTTTTTTAAGTTTGTTGCCTATTTTCTCCTTATTATGAGGAGAACTGATACAAGATCTATCTTTTTTTTTTCTTTTTAAGACACATAAAAATCAAATGAAGGTGATTTTTTGGTTATTTTCCTAATTTTACCTCCTGTGTTGTCTTTAAGGAGGAAGTGGCGCAGCTGTGGGGAGACAACAGCTTCGAAAACAGGAAGAAAATGTATCGGATGATGAGGGGCTTCTATGTGCGGACCATCACCATCAACAGAGCCATGGGTTATATCGCTTCAGGAGACCACAGGAAGTAAACGTGTGTCTTCATCTTCATCATCATCATCATCATCATCATCATCACTCCAAATCAGTCTAATATCTCCACTGTTTTTATTTATTCCACCTTAAAACCTCTCCTGGTCATTCACTACCAACAGTTACATTTACTCATCAAGCAGTGCTCAACGCTACACATGCTGCTTCACTGTCAGTGTGGTTACTACAGCTAAAGTAGAGGCCATGTTGGCCGCTTTTAAATCTATGAATGTATTCTAACATTTGAGGGAAACATATCTATTTATTTGATATTTATTTATAATATCTATTTATGTATTTATTTATTTTATGGCGTGTGATGGTTTTTGGTTAATAAAGTATTCATATGAAAGCATATCTGGTGTATTTGTGTTTGATTTTGATTCCGTGAAACTATAGGAAAGACAGCAGAAATAAAACGAGAGATGTTCTTCCATTTTATTCAGTCAACATTTCCATCTTCTTTATGAATATCTGACAATTCTTTCCGTTCTTTCGAGCTGACATGATTGAAACAAGTGCAAAGAGGACAAAGTGGCTCATTGGTGGTTATATCTCAAAGGCAGCCTCCCTGTTCTCTAAATGTGTAAACATTATCTGCATAGAAGAGGAGAACAGATTCAACTTTCCATATGACATCTCTGAAGAGAGAGTGTTGACTTTTCTGGAGGCAGAAACAAAGCTGTGACAAACGTAGGGCTGGTGAGAGAATCTCCGTGAACTATTTCCACAGGCATCTTACGGTACAGTTTGTTTTTCAGATCTTAAGCGTACTGAGCTCTACAGCGACGATATTATTCCTGAAAGGATGTCTCATAAAAGTAAATTAATGTTGTCAGGCTGTAGCTGCACATAGACGGATATTAAATTCAGCCCTGAATCCAAACACTTTACTTGTTCTCGACTACAGTGCGTACTTCTGTGAAAGACACAACCAATATTTATGTGTAAACAAGAGATCTGCGTTACAGTCGCAGTAGGGCAGGAATGAACTTCAAGTGAAATAAAGAAACATCGTAGTAAAAGGTTAAGACTTTTTCAAATAAAAAAAGACGCAAAACAACAGAAAAAAAGACGTAAAAAAATAGATCATGAGCTTATAAAAGTTTGTAAAAAAAACAAAACAGATATGTACAGGACCACGTGTGAACAAATATAAAATGTATGAGACTCAAAAAAACGTAGTATTTCAGTCTATTAACTTTAGAAAGTCACAAGCGTGTGCAATTAATGTACTGACTGATTGTTTTCTTAAAAAGTCCCACAAAAAACAGTGAAACATGGTACACAGGTTACTTTTCTTTAGCAGTTTCAACACTGCAGCACCTAAATTACATCTGCTACTGGCTACATTATTAGCTACTTTATATCCCAATGACACCTCCACCTCTACTGGTCATTTTTTTTAACCTGATCCTGAATATGCTATGCATAAAACTCAGGCTACACACAGGGGTTTTTAGGCCTTGTTTCCACTCATGCATGTGACTAGAGCTGTAAATAAACTGACAATACGTTCAGTGTCCAGTGAAAGGGAGTGTACTTCTTGAAACATGGAAATAAACCTGATAAAACTACCAGTAAATATGTGGAAGAGGCTCTTTGTGTCTGATAAGTGAAATCTGGGTGTTTCATAGCAAACTAATAATGATAATCTGGACCCATAAAATGTATAACTAACATGATCATCCCTACAGAAACATAGGACCTCCTGTTGACTCGCCCCTGAGCACATATGTAAGTGGAAACAAGCATTACGTCTGGCCTGTCTGTCCTATTAACAACACAGGAATAATTACAGTACACTTAAACAAATCAAGTTCAGGCCCGTGGCTCTTTTGGTCACATAAACCCTGCTCTTAGTTTCCTAACTCATAAAAAGGGAGTTAAACTGAGAGCAGGGCGTGTGTTTGGTCCGTGTGCTGGATTCACTTAGTTGAATTCCTGAGACTTTGTTCCTCCAGACACCGGAGAGACAGAAATCCATCAGTCTAAAGACGTCGAAGCCTTTTCACTTTGCTGTGCGGTTGTCCATCATGTCTGAAGAAAGACAAAACAAGATAAAGTACTATTATTTTCCTAATATTGTGTTTGAACGGTTATGAATACAAGAGTTATATGTAGATAAACCACAATGTATTACTATGGCCAGATTTTGAAGGGTGAAAGACACAGTAGGCTGACATAAAAACCTTAAAAATAACTAACTTTAAAGCAGTATCAATAAAGGATGTGTATTTTTAGGCAGATTGACAATGTGGCTCTTAACTGTGGCTCTTATACTACCTTGGCTGTAAACTTCTAGCGTTAATTTCTTGTGCTTATGAACACAACCTCAGTTTTTACCTCTCAGAGTCTGATGAACCTCGTTCGGCAGGTCATCCAGATCCTGCACACTCTTCCACAGATGATGCGCCGTCGCCTCTCCAGGTCGTCTCTTGCTCTTCCACTCCACCAGCATCTTCAGTTTCTGCATGGTCACGTCTTTCTCCACAGCCTGGATGTCGTCCAGCTCCCTGAAGTTCAAGTCCAGAAAGATGGCCACCTGCTTCCACTCCTTCCCAAGCCTCTTGGCTACCTGCAGTAGCTGCTTCTCTGACATGTCCTGACTGTGAGTCATGGCTGTTTTCAACCCATCTGGGAATATAAAATACAACAAGAGCAGGAGAAGGGGTTTAGAGAGAGAGGGGTGGTTTGGCGCCGATTAGTTTCTGATGAATCTGTTTTGAAATCAGCAACAAGTTGGAAACAAGAATTCACCTGACTCATCCTGCCATCGAGGTCTTTTACAGACTGTTTCTTCCTCTTCTGAGGGGCTGCTGCTCCTCCGTCTGCCTGCGAAAGTCAAAGGTGGGATGTGAGACTTTGTATGAAAGCTAAGTGGAGAGACTGAAAAAACTTAATGAAACTAGGAGAAAAAAAGAGCTTACTGTTGGCTCTTTTCCTCGGGATCTTTTCTGTGTTATCCACGCAGTCACCTGAGAGAGAGGAAAAGAAAAGGTGGTTACAAAAACACTCCAAGGAGGAAAAAACTGAACAAGAAAGAGGGTAGTATTAAGAAAACTGTGACTTTTGAGAGTCAGATGTTTCATTTATTGTGAATATTGTACATAGATATTACAAAAACAGGGCTGATTCTTTAGCTTACTTCACATATGTTGTTTCAGGTGGTCTTGTCCGCTTTTGTATATTATGCTAAGGCTTAAAAATGAATTTGATCCTATTTCATAGACATCAAAACTTCTCACAGGAGCTTAAAGACAAGTTCTGACTTTTACTTGAAGTTTATTGGGAATGATTTCACGACATTAATGATGGCCTGTTTTGTAGTTATTTGTAGATTTAATGTTCCGACATACAGGAAAATGTGCAGAAAACTTCAACGAGTTTCTCCTCACACACACCCACACCTAGATGTAATTTTTCAGATCATCAAACGTGTTCAGCGTGAGACTAAACTGACTGTTACCTTCTCTGATGGTGGCAGACCACACAATCTCGTCAGTGTTGATCTCCACCAGATTCAATTTGAAGGGCGGAGGCTGATCAAAGAAGGCTTCAAAGTAGCCTTTCATCTTAGTCACTGCGAGGGTGAATTTCAAATCCTGCACGGAGACACGTAAAATAAAAGCTAACGTGGAGAAACGCTTTAAAAATACAAGCATGATGACGCAGGTTTGTGAAAAGGAGACTAACCTCGGGTTTGATCTCTCCTTCCGGCTCGCTCACCAGACGATACGTCCCCTCGTCCAGTTTGCACGTGGGGGGCTTCTCGATTCGGATGTAACGGTTTTTGTAGCCCTGCACCTGTTTGCGTATATCCTGTGGTCACACCAAGATGAGACAAAAAGGGAAGAGAAGTCAGTTCCACGAAGAAGATGAGCTGAATTGTGTTTAACTGGAGTCAGATTGGACAAACTGAGGGGGTCTCAAAAAGGACAAACCAGCTGATAGGGAAAACGTGAATTTCTACATGATTCCTGGTTACGATTAAGAGTCTGGTTCTTTCAATTACACCTTGAGTCACATTGAAATGACTGTAATTGTTATGTTCCTGTTGCCCTTATCATGAATCACACAGCAATGGCATTTACACATCATGATAAATACCCTTTTTTTCTGGTATGTTGGCGTTTGTTAAGGTCATTTTTTACAGACAGCCAATGATCACTTAACTGGATGATGACATAACCTCGACTGAATTTAATTACCAGGAACAGATACTAAAACATTCAACAGACCAAAACAGAGAATCTCAAGAGAAATAAAAAGTTTATCTTTTGCATTTCAAACTGCCAATATGTGCATCACCCTACACGAACAAAAAGGAAACAGAAAAAAAAAGTTTAATGCTTAAATTTAATTACTTTTACAAAATGAATGTATTACTTTTACTGTCTGCATTTACTGTGACAATAACAAAGCAAACAAAAACACCTTTTTTTTGTATCAGAAAATACTATCTTATTTTAAATGACTGTTACAGTGGTGTAAAAGCTGTATGAGATACTATAGTCAGACATTTGTAACATACATTACTATGATATTTTTATGCTAAAATGTGACGTTTTTAATCATACTTTACTATGATATTTTTTTTTCATACTAGAATTTGACATTTTTTTCATAGTATACTATGACATTTTTTTTATCATACTATGCTGACATTTTTATCATACTTTACTCTGGAATTTTTTTTATCATAATATACTGTGACATTTTATTATACTATGTTATGATATTTTTATTATATTATGCTCTGATGCTTTTGAAAATCATACTATAACTGACCAGGATTTGAACCCAGGACCTTTTGTTATGAGGCGACAGTGCTAACCATTACACCACTGTGCTGTCCATGTCACATGAGATCATTTTATCATATTTTACTATGGTTTGTTTGACATACTGTAGTATGAGCTAGAATTTCAGCTTATTTATACACAATATTTCAGCTGCAATTTTTTTTTTTTCCAGCTTTGTTGTACATTAGCAAAGTGAACTCTGTGCATTGCTCTTTCAATTAAACATATGTACCATTTGTTTTAGATATTATCTATACAATTCACAGCTACATGATTATCAAAGTACACCGGCCCAAAATTGTCCACTTTCTCACCTTCACTGAGTTTTTCATGTAGATTAAACTGATTTTTATAATTGTTAGACATTTTTTCAAACTTTTAATTGTGTTGTTGTGAGGTTTGTTTTAAGTTTAGTGACATTTTAGTGACTTTCACTATATTCAAGACTATATTTAAGACTTTTCAACACCTGAACACAGATATAAAAAGTTGCTTCATGGTTGGATGATGTGGTTTAGTTTTCACACTTACCTTTATATCTGAGGCACTGTTTGTGGCTAGATAGATGTGGAAACTGTAGTGGTTGTTGTCATTTCCCAGCTGCTTATAAACCAGAACCACCCCGTGGTGCTCCACAGACTGTGTTGTCTGAATGATGGGACCCACGGGTGACAGAGACGACACATTCCACTTCACATGACTACCTGAGTGGTCCACTGTGGGCTCGATGAGTGGACGGTTGTCCTTTATGTGAAGGACACTAAAAGTCATCTCATTTTCTGGATCTGTGAGAACATAACATTTGGAGGAAATTGGGATTTAGAGGAAGCTGTGATTTCTTAAGTCTGAGGATGATTAACTAAAGAAGTTTATTTCATGCTGATGAATTTATTGAGCATAGACGCAGTGAAATCTATCCTCACCTGCGAGGCAGACGGAGTGAGGGAACTGGATGGACTTGAGGACAGAAGCCTCCTTATCAACCGTGTCCACGTTAAAAATGGGTCCAGCAAATTTCCAAGAGTCTCGGAGGAATGCACCAAACTTGGACCAGGACAAGACAGAGTACCTCAACAGGACCCGCTCTGATGCTTCAAATACCAAGCCAGTAACCGAACACTCGTATGTGCCCTCTCCTTCCAGCTGCACCCTGAAACACACATACACACACGTAGATTCAGTGAAGTTTCAGGATTACTGGGAGTGTGCACAGAGCAGATCTGAGCCGTGGTACTCACTGTAATCGCCCCTTACTGATCTTCCGGGGTGTAACAAGCTCACCGCCGTGACTCTGTGGATAAAGCAAACACAGTTTATTGGAGCAAGTATAAAAACACAGCAGAAGTATTAAATAACTTTTAATGAGTCTGTGAGGGTATATTTAAAAAAGAAAAGACACTTTTTCGGATAATTCTGGTCTCCAAGCTCACCTGCTGGATTGTTTTGCATTTTTCGCAGCAGTATGTGAGTTTCTCATCTGTCAGGATGCATAAAAATATGATAATTTTATTCCACTGAAACAACTCAGAGAATATTTACCATGCTTTAATACAAGATTTCTGCTTACCTTTCCCATTCGAAACCTCTGCTTCAGCTCCAGGGACAGTTTCTGGAAGAGAAGGTAATTCATGTCTGCTGATATTGTGTAAAAAACACTCTTTTTTAAAGCCCAGAGTTAAAGTTTTCAGACTATCTGACCGTAAAAAGCAGCAAAAAGTTTTTTAAAAGCTGACATCTTTTAAGAAAGGTATTAATATCTCTATCTCATTACCGTTTGTAGACCCCTCTGCATAAGGCTCTTCATGGTCTGCAAAGAACACAAAGAAAATCTCATCAGATAAAATCTCGCAGTTATAAAGATTTTTTAAAGGATTAATACGATTCCTAATATTTACCTTCCTCTCCTCTGTCTTTCTCAGCACAAGATTCTGGTGAAAGTAGAGAAACAAACCAACATTATGTAAAAATACACTTCTTTAGTGAAATCCTCGTACATGTACAGGTGCTAAACTGCTATTTTTGCTTGTGTCAAAGACTAAATCGAGGATGCCTCTAATCTGGCTCTCGTTACTGTCTTTTTATTCATTTGAGCCAATCAGATAAGAGTTTTCCTTTTTTGTTTTTGGCCCAACCTCGGAATAATGACTCAGCAAAAAATGTCCCTGCCCTAGCATTTATATGCCAGTCCTATGTTTTTTCTATGAATCAAGCTAGCTATATGTCCCTGTTCCTAGATTTCTGCTACGCTAAGCTAGCAGCTTGCATATTTAACCTACAGACATGAGAGTAATATCATTAATCCTGTTTCAATCTTGGGGAAAAAAATGCTAATTAGTAAATGTCATGCTTTGATGCGGCAGTTCAAAGAGTGTCTCTCACCAGAGTCGTCCTCTTCCTCCTCCGAGCTGTCCTCAGTGGATGTTCCTGTGTTATCTGAGTGATAAATCAACATGAAAGGGATGTGAGAGGGAACTAACGACTTTTAAAAAAACAGGATTGAAGTTATAAGAGGGGGGAAAAATCATTTTAAAGAGGAGTCAATGTCAGATGAAAAGTTTCTGTACGAGTTATGTAGAGAGAGAAATGGAGTTTTGGTGCTCACCTGAGCCGCTGCTGTCACTCTCTGTCACATTATCTGAAACACAAACAGTGATTGAGGTAAGTTCAGGTTTGTTGTGAAGACTGATGTAATGTCAGATTTGTGTCATGAAACTAAGGGGGAAAGAATACATGTGAAACAAACACTATCCTAATAATCTTTTGTAGCCTTGCTTGATAAACTCTTCCTCTCTCACTGGCTATTTTTCACCTTTTTTTGTACGAGACAATCAGAACTAAACAGACTTGCTTGGATAAAAATGTTAGAAACAGGGCAAAAGTTCCAGGTTTTCACTCTTGTCACATTAGCTACTTTAACTAGTGCAGCCAAAGCAAAAAACCTCTGTTTTTAGTTTAGATTCTTCGCCTATCAAAACAGTCCTCAGCCACACTAGTCATCAAAAAAAGCCCCCAGCATGTCTCACTTACACCAACAGCTTTTACATATTTATCCTTCCTGAGCAGTTGAACTGTGGCACCCCGTGAAGAAAACCATGATAAGTGCCGTGCATTAACATTCTGGCACATCTATGCAGATGGGTCCAGAGGAGCTGCTGCTGCTGCCTCTCTCTTCCCAGCAGCAGTGAATGTCCATGGAGCGGGCCATCTGGCTGAGTGCCTGGCCAGCTAATGGATGGAGCCCATCCTCTCTGGCCTGCGGAGTTTTATCTTAGACTAACAAGCAGATGCTGCCATCACTGCTCCACTGGCGGCACCTCCCTCATCAATCTCTATCTCCTCCACTCTTCTGCATCTCCTCCCTCTCTTCTCTCTTTCTCTCTCTCTCTCCTTGTTCTTGACTGTATCCCTTTGCTACTCTCTGTCTGTCTCTCTTTTTCGGAGCCAGCAGGCATCCCTTTTCACTCTGGCATGGCTGCTCCCCTTCATCAGTCTGACAAACAAGGTGCAGAGCAAACACTCACACAGACACACACATGCACATGGAAACACATGCAAACACACACTTGTTTGCAGCTCTGAAAGTTTGGGTTGTTTCATGGATGTTTGCTGCCATCTGCTGGCCACAATAATAATGGCAAAAGTCTGAGCGCTAAAAGGTTGATTTGTGGTGCACAGCAGTAAATCTGAACTTTTTAGGCTTGTTGATGCACAATAACACAAGTTATGCTTAGCATGCTGATCATATTTGTACTGGGCTCTGACTTTGAATACTTTTTACTTTTAATACTAATTTTGGGGGCTTCTTTGGATACGGTGACGTCCTACTGAGAGAGAGAGAGGGAAACAATACATGGCACAGCAGCAAAGGAGTCTAACCAAGACCATATTGGATCACCTTCAAACTGCCTCTTAATTGTTCTTTGATATATAACAAAGAAAAATCCAGACTTTTGAAAAGATTGAGCCAGAAAATGTTTGACTTTCTTGCCTCAAATACAACCAAAAAGATGTATCCATTTTAATCTTTTCATGTCTGGCAATTACTTGTCTTCTGAAGTACTAAAAACTAATTATTGCAGCTCTGACTGTTACCACATTCAAAGAGAAAGAAAAAAAAACATCTTTGTATTTCTGATCCTATCAAATTAGTCTTCTTTGTCTTTCATTACCAGGCCAAAAACAGTGTAGTTTCTCCTTTTAATTGGATAACTTTTAAACCTGAGAAGTAAAAGATACAGGAAAAAAAGAATATTTCTTTGCACACATGTAGTAATGGAGATAATTACTGTAAAAGTGTAAACACAAGGGATGGGATGACTGTGCAAAAAGTCCAGCTGCCCTATAAAGCAAATAATATGTAAATCAAGGCAAACTATGCAAAGTGAGACGAGTCAAAGGGGAAGGAAACAAAAACAACAGATTGGCATGCACTATTTTTATATTAGAGGTACAAATGAATTTAAAAAAGGAACCAGAGGAGAGACACACAACAAACACATTCAGCTCAACTGAGAAAGTGAAAAAAAAGAGAAGCCAACAGCACAGAGAAGAAGAGGAGCGATAAAACGGGCTGATGTTTACCTTTGTTATCAAGTGCAGGGATATCTCCATCCCTGTAGGGCAGAGGAGATAACAGTCAGACAACTCTGAATTACACTGAATAGACTTAGAGTCACGTGATAGATGTCTGGGGTGTGTGTGAGAACAGACAAGAACTCAGAGGTTACAAGTGTCGGCTCAGGAGGTTGTGCAGCTGCAGGCTTTTGCACTACGACCACTTCTGCTTTCACACAAGGCACAGCTCAGTGAATGAGAAAAACAGGAAACGTTCACCTCACTCACACTTAGGACACTTTTCGTTTAACGGTAGATTCGTCCTAACACCCAAAGTGTCACTCTGACCCACTTTTACAGCTGAGTTGATAATACAAGACATGGAAAGATATTTACTACGTAGTTTTGCTATTAAACAAAACCAATCTGATACTTACTGACACATTCTTTCTGCTCTCTGTTTCAGCCTCAGAAGTAAGGTTAAATGAATCATATTTGATTTATTCACTCATTGTGGTATGATATTTTGATGATATGATAACACGGTGGAACCATTTGACTCAATTCTGGGGGTGTTCAGAAGATAATCACACCTCCACAAAGAAGATAAGATTCATAAGATCGTTGCTGAAAAGGCCGGCTGCGTGCAGAGTGTTCTATTAAAGTTAATTAATAGACAAGCGAAATTATCCAGCAGGATTTCACACATGCCCACAACACCAAAACTACGATTCAATGGTTTACTGACCAGCCAACTGGCCTATAACCTTAACCCCATGGTGGATCTGTGGGGTACTGTCAAGAGGAAACCAAGAAAAAAATGATTAAAAAATAAAGACTTTTCTAAAGGCCACTGTTAAAGCAATCTGGGCTTTAAAACCACCTCAGCAGAACTACAGTCTGACCACATCCATGCCACACTGGACTGAGGCAGTAATATATAGAAAAGAGTATCAATCAAATGTTCTTTTCTTTTATTACTCATGTTTTTATGTCTTTCCTAACAGGCAATAACAGTTTTATTTACTCTATTTCATTTTAAATCTTTTTTGTACAAGACCTTAATCTATCACCCAAACAATGAGCCAAGCTTAAGTGTTATAATAGATAAGATACGTATGAGCAGAGGACCGGAGCAACCTGTTGATGCAGTCTGAGCTTGGACAAGAGGCAACACGCCTGTATCACCTACATCTGGGGGAGACAAGAAGAACGAGTTCACCACCGGCAGGCGTAGAAAAGTAGGTCACATCCCGCCCTGAGTCTTTTCCTAAAAGTGTGGAGCCGGCTGATGAAAAGCATGGTGCTGAATCAGGAAATTAGACTTATTAAACCCAACCAGGGTCTGGTCTTTTATTTCGGTGTCTGTTAATCCTGATAAGGCACATTGGTTTCCTTTGTTTTCAAACATCTGTCCAGGAAACACGCTCTCTTCAGTTCAAGGTCAGCTTGTTGGAGGCTCTGGCACACCACAGCTACACTGAGGCACATTAGCTACCATGGTAACTCTATATAAACTCCTGGATCATGTTCTGGGGCTTTCAGGTTTCTGTCTCCTGTACGTAAAAAAAATGATAAAATCCCCTGTGAGGGTGTTGGTCTGTTTCTGGCTGAAAGATAAAGACGACAACATTCGCATGTTGGATACAACTTCCTTTAAACACAATGAAAAGAGAAGACATCTGTGTGTAGATAAACAACTGTCGGTTTGTCTGAGTGTTTACACAGAAGCGCCAAACAGCTTACTGTTGGCCTTTGCCTCATAATTATCAATATCAAATGACACGTCCCTGCTATCACTGTGATGTCTATGGAGGGTTATAAACATCAATAGGTTATTGTTCTGCTGTTATAAGTTTCCATGAGATAAATCCACTTGAACGCAGGTGGGTTAATAGGTGCCACTGAGGTGGTGTTCATCCAGGGACTTTTCCAGCCCTCATTGGCGTGTGAATGACAACAAACACAGAGGTGTACACACAATGACTCATTGGTATCACCTCAACTGTGTGTGCTTTACTATACAACCAATAATGAATATCCCTTTAGTAAAATTTGGATACATATATCTGACTAGAGTGGATTTTTGCTTATATAATCAAAAAGTTAGTACTCTAAATATGTCTTCATTTGTGCGTTTTGCTTTAAAATCACAAGCATGAGCATTCATAATGGTCCATGCTGTTTTTATCATGATGTTTTTATTCATTCTTTATTAAGTGTGAATATTGTTACAGTATTTGTATTTGTAGAATGTGTGCTGTGTTTCACTGGTGCTGCCTCTGGTTGTTTTAATTTCCATCTGGGATTAATAAAGTATCTATCTATCTATCTATCTATCTATCTATCTATCTATCTATCTATTTAAAAGCTACTTTGTATAACTCGATGATAGTATTTTCAGACACGCTGCTGATGTTACACTGTAGTCAATGAGTCATCAAAACAACACAGCAGCATGCGCACACAAAGAGATCACCCATTTATCGTTTCTTACCTCTGTAACACCAATGATGCGCGTTTTAAATATAAAAAAAGTCGATACTTTGGATATTTATGGACAATAAAAAAAGACAAAATAAGGCTCAAGATCGACACCACTTCCTGTGTTGCCCCTGGGTAAGGAATTTGGAGCTGCATCCACTTGCACGCAGCATGTTGTCCAATCGTTACGCACAAAAACTCCGACACCAACACAGAGAGATAAAGTATTGATCTGTGTCTACATATGTGACAAATTCATAAACAAATCCTTTAAAGTACTTACCCGTCCTCCAGGTGAGAAGCCGCTCCACAGCTCGCCATCTCCGCCACCATCCTCCCTCTGCAACCAAACCCCGTTATACTTTCTGTTCTTCCTCAGTGTGCAGCACCTGCGCGTAAAGTGCATGAATATGATCCCACAATAGGGGCTATCAGTGTCCGCTTAAAGCCCTGGGCAGTGATCGGCACAAGAATAGTAACCCGATTCCTCGTGGTCTGACGACTTCACATCACTAGTCCTTTTTGGATGCACTATCCTTTCTCCAGGAGGCCAAACAGCTGGAGTTTATTCCAAAAAAAGCGCTCAGGGGATCCAATATTAGTAAAAGAAAACAGAGTGCCAGCCTTCCCGTGGTGTAAATGTGGATGTATTGTTTCCTTTTACAAAAAAATGTTTGTGTGAGAGCTCGGATAAAAACCTGATCTCCAAAACATGTTGTCTTGTTGTTGCGCAGCGCACAGGCGGACACATAGCTTTTAGTATCAGCGGTCACGCGCAGTTGCAGTGCAATCCAGGCATGCGCACCAACGAGCTCCACATGTGGGCGGGCGTGCAGCATCCCGCCTTCAGCTTGCCTCTATAACAAAGTCCTGTAGATGATTTACAGCCGGAGTTTTTACCATGTTTTATGATCAGGAACTCATCAGTAAAAAGCATGAAAACGTTTGCTGTCTAATAAGGTAGAAATCAACTGCATGATTTGAAACAAAACACACATTTTAGAGGTTTCCAAAGACTCCAAACCTTGTACATGTTTATGCAATATTATAAACAGCCAACATGTCTGTAAATCAAACTCAAAAGTTTAGAAGTGAACAGCAGAGGCATGGTCTCAAGCCGTCTGCAATAATTACATGTCTGCATTCGTCTGAAACACATGGGCTGGTTGCACATTTTCTTCCACACATGAAAGCAGCAGCAGCCAGCACTCCTCACTGCAACTAGGTCACTTTGAGCGGGAAGACATGCGTTTCAATGATGCACTACCTCAAACTCTCCACCAGGTGTCACATCAGACAACAAAACAGGCACAAAACAGCAGCAGAACTCTTCCTCCCCAAAAATCTTCTTCAACCGGAAGACACACTCATGCCAGATTCATGTATTCGACCTGAGTGTGAGCTCAGCAAATGAAATTTGTAAGGAAGCAAGTTATGATGCTCACCCTCCACTGGACAGAGAAAGACAGAAAGACGGGGAGAGCTCTGTATGAAAGCCGGAGATGTCCAGTGGGAGGAATGAGTGGAGGATCAAGGGCTTTCTTATTGATCTCCCTCTCATTGATCTTCTCCTTTCCTACTCTCTCCACCCAGCTGTCAAACTTCCACGGAGAGAGATAAAGTTTGCAGGGGAGAGAGTGAGAGGAGAGAGACAGATTCCCCCAGACTAACATGGATTTTATCCAAGTATCAGAGTCTAAAGGGAGAGATCAGCTCCTCAGAGTGGGCAGAGACGGCCCAACATCAGACTCCAAAGTGAGATGATATCCCCTCAATACCTCAGGAAACTAGAGGAGATAAAAGGAGATGAGTGGAGGAGAAAGAGAATGACGAGAGGACAGGGAAGGTCAGAAAGAGGAGAGAAAGAAAACATAAGGTTAAACGATATGAGGATAAAGATTAAAGGAATCATTGAAATTAAAAAAAAGTGATCTAGGACACTGAGACTTGAAGATTAACCTTTTTTCCTCAATTTGAATCATCTGCTTTCAGACTGTACTGTCAATTTGTCTTGACCTGACTCATAAAACTTGAGGAGACTGACCTCATACTAATGTTAAAACTATGGTTACACATGCAGCCACTTATGATTTATCTGAGAAACAGCAAATTCAAATACTGACCCGGTGATACTGAAGAAATTCAGTGAACAGAGTCGGTATGATTCATCCTCATGGGATCATGAATGCCTGAAAAAATATTCATAGCAATCAATCTAATAGTTCTGGAGATACTTAACTCAAAGCACACATGTGATTATTATGGCAGCCTGTGAAATACAACCATTTAGATCATGACAGTAATTTGGATCCATCCTCTGGGAACCATGAACATCGAGCCCAGAATTTCATGCTCTCCCACTGAACAGGTTTTTGGAGGTATTTCACTGAATTCATTCTGACATCTTTGACTTACTTGTGGCACTTAAAAGAAAGTTACTATATCACTAAAGTCATCAGGAATCATCCTCCAGGGATCACGAATATTTCTGCAAAATTAAGGAAAATATCAGAAAGCTATGATCTTTCAATGTTTCAAAATGGCTGGAAACAACCAAATCCCATTGTCTCTTTGGCCTCTTTTAGAGAACTGGCTTTTACTCGTAAAAACTACCAGTAAGAGGGAATGGATACCTAAGCTAGGATATAGGGTACAACCAGAGCCGGCCCAAGCCTCAATGGGGCCCTAAGCAAAATTTGATATTGGGGCCCTCTATTTCTGCCAATAATATTGATTGTTGATCACTCACACACCATCACAAATCTCTTTGATTAACATTCCATGACAGGCGATTATACCTTTGTCTTAGCGTTTTTTCTCTTCTTCCTCTTTCTTCTCTTTCTTTTCTCTGCTCCTGAAGGATATGTCCCTTTTTGCGACATTGTTTTGCTCCACAACTACCTGCACTTTGGATGCTCAGTGCACATTGCACATCAGGAGGCACATAATGGCAGCGAAACTTTGACATATCAGCAGTAAGAATCATAGGCCTACATCAGCAGCAGCACTAAAATGTTTTTAATTTATTTTATTTTATTTTTACAATAATATATATTTGATCATACAGAAAGTATCACTCATACATACAAAAAAATAAAAAATATTTAATTTTTTATTTAATTTTGTATAAAACTTATGTGTACAAAAACTAGCAGTTGACTGATATCAGACCTCAATGGCCGATTTCTGATGCCAATATCACACTGTAGTTTATTTTTTAAATACAACAACTGAATAAAATATATCAACTGAATATACATTTGATCATACAGAAAGCATCACTCATACATGCAAAAAATAAAAAATATATTTTTTGTTGTTGTTGTTGTTTTTGTATTGTTTTTATTTCTGTTAGGGGCCCCCTACTGGTTGTGGGGCCCTAAGCAGGCGTTTAGTTTGCTTATGCCTTGGGCCGGCTTCGGTACAACCACAAGTCATAGTTTTTAGGCTGCATATGGGAAAATGAGGATAACATGAACATCACTGCAGATTTGAAAGAAGTTGTAAAATTTCTGCGAAGACTTTTCAAAAAAATCTAAAACAGGTATTAGCAAAAGATACATCAGGCACGATCTGTCTCTCTCTCTCTCTACGTGTGTGTGTGTGTGTGCTATGACAGGGCTTTTTTTTACCTATCGACCAACCTGTTTGGAAACGATGATGTCACGCACCCTAGAGGGTTAATTCGAGCCCTCATTGTGCAGAGTCATTATCCATCACATGGAGACACACACACACACACACACTCAAAATAACTCACAGAAAAACACAGTCATATGTTAAGATACTCAGCAGGGGGATAGAAGTAAACCCACACCTCTGTGCTAAAACACACCCTTTATAGCATACATGCATTCACATACGTAGATGCACAAAAGGAGTCCTCTTACTCTGGAGATGAGGAACGCCATATCCTTTCACTTTCAATGGGCCATTTCGCCATCAGGGCTGAGTTATCACTGGAAAGATCCATAGTGACAAAAGAGCGTTGGCTGCTGCAGCCCTGCATAAAGAAGACGGAGGGGGTGAACGGGGACAGGGAGCAACACCTTTGCATAGAGAAAATGGGAGAGAGGCTCTGGAGATCGTCCAGCCATGAGAGATTTCTGAGGCAACCCTATTCAATCCCGTACAACGGTGTCATGTATAATGTATGGGGTTAAGAGTGGGCTGATCTGTAATAATCTCTCCTCTGCAGTCACTGGGATAACCTCACTTTACAGAGGCACACATGCAGATATAGAGAGCAGGTTTGTTCTCAGATAGAGGGTTTGGTTGTAGAGGTATGACTGTGCTTTGATTTGAGTTGTGGACTGACACTGATGATATGTGACTGAAGTTGTGTTACCATCATGAGAGCTATTCCCCTTTGATTTCACTTGGCTTCCACATTTGTTTGTGCTTTTATTTTGTATATTTGTTCATTCTGTTGTCTCCAATATGTTAATAAGTCTCTTGGGTACTTTTTTTTTTCTTCATCTACCCACAGAGCTTTTTCTTCTTTTGTTCTCCACTTTCAGTTTCAGATCAGAAAATAAACTTGGCCCCTCCCCCTGATGTCCTCTGAGATATTATCAAAATTTGTTCTCTGTGTGATTTCTGTGAAGTTGTTTCGCAGATTAATTTCAGTTTTTTTTTTGTGGTTCAATACCATTTTTTTATTTGAACCAAATTCAAGATTTGGCAGAGTACAGCTAGAGGAGTTTGAGTTTTCATGATGGAATTAATAAGGAAAATGATGCATGGTTGGTGGGGAGACAGTGACAAAAACAGGAGACAAAAAGGTGGCAACAAAGGGAAAAAGGGGGTATGGATAGCATATGGGGGGGAAAGGGGATGAAAAAGTAGGATGGATGGTAGACGAGAAGGAATGATAGGGAAGGATGGATCGTCGGTGAGGAGACAGGGAACAAAAAAGAAGGATTGGATTTAGGGAAAGAGGGTGGATAATGACAGAAGGAGAAAAGAAAGGAAGGATCGACTGTGTGGAGGAAGGGGAGAAGAATAGGAAGAGTGGAAGGTGGGAAAGAAGATAGTAGCTATGGATGGAAGAAGGATGGATTGATGATGGTGAGGAGGAATGGAAAAAGGACACAAGTATGGATGGTAGAAAGAAAGACAGAATGAAGTGAGATGGATTATCATCAGGAAGGAAAGGTAGAAAGAAAGTTGAAGGAAAGCACAGATATAAAAAGAAAGGGAAGAAGAAAGGGTGGTAGGAAGGGTGGAGGGGGATGAAAGAGAAAAAGGAAAAATTGAGGGAAGGATAAATCAGATAGAAAGAAAACAAGGAATTATGAAGAATAGAAGAAAAGACGGAAAGAGGAAAGGAGAGGGGTGAAAAGGGAAGGAAAGAGGGCAGGAGGCAAGAGGAAACAAATGGAGGGGAAAAGGAAGAGAAAAGGAAAGGAGAGGAAAAGGTGAAGGAAGGAAGGGAGAATGAATGTAGCAAAGAAGGAAGGATAGAAGGGCGTAAGAAGGAAAATCTGGAACACGAGTATTTTAATAGACAAATCCAGATGCAGAAGTCAGTCCGTCCTTTAATACAGTTTCTTGTTGGCCTTTGTGAAAGAGCTCAGAGTTTGTCCAAAGATCATCTGTATGTTTTGTATTAAGTGCAAACCGTTTTCTCTGAAGTTCAGCACATCTGTCCTGTGTTTGGATGGGACACCTACACACTCTGACCAACAAAGTCTGGGGACTTTTTCATTGTTCTCCCTTTTCACAGGAGGGGACTTTAATTGTCGTGTATTTTCACTTATTAACAGATTTCCTGTCCCCAC